ACAAAGGAAGTAACAAGAGACAAAGAAGGACATTACATACTGATAAAGGGGTCAGTCCAACAAGAGGATATAATGATTACAAATATCTATGCACCCAACACAGTATCACCTACATATGTGAAACAAATACTAAGAGAATTGAAGGGGGAAATAGAATACAATGCATTCATTTTAGGAGACTTAAACACACCACTCATTCCAAAGGACAGATCAACTAGACAGAAAATAAGTAAGGTGACAGAGGCACTGAATATCATATTAGAACAGATGGACCTAATGGACATCTACAGAACACTCCATCCAATCACAACAGGATACACATTCTTCTCAAGTGCACATAGAACATTTTCAAGAATAGACAATATACTCGGCCACAAAAAGAGCCTCAGTAAACTCAAAAAGATTGAAATTGTACCAACCAGCTTCTCAGACCACAAAGGTATGAAACTAGAAATAAATTACACAAAGAAAATGAAAAGCCCACAAACACATGGAGGTTTAATAACATGCTCCTAAATAATCAATGAATCAAAGACCAAATGAAAACAGAGATCAAGCAATATATGGAGACAAACGACCACAATAATTCAGCACCGCAAAATCTCTGGGACGCAGCAAAGGCCATGCTAAGAGGGAAGTATATTGCAATACAGGCCTGCCTCAGGAAAGAAGAACAATCCCATATGAACAGTCTAAACTCACAATTAACAAAACTAGAGAAAGAAGAACAAATGAGGCCCAAAGTCAGTAGAAGGAGGGACATAATAAAGATTAGAACATAAATAAATGAAACTGAGAAGAATAAAACAGTAGAATCAATGAAAGCAGGAGCTGATTCTTCAAGAAAATAAACAAAATAGATAAACCCCTAGCCAGACTTATCAAGAGAAAAAGAGAGTCTACACACATAAACAGAATCAGAAATGGGAAAGGAAAAATCACTATGGACACCACAGAAATACAAAGAATTATGAGAGAATACTATGAAAAATTATATGCTAACAAACTGGATAATCTAGAAGAAATGGACAACTTTCTAGAAAAATACAACCTTCCAAGGCTGACCTAGGAAGAAACAGAAAATCTGAATAGACCAATTAGCAGCAATGAAATTTAATCCGTAATCAAAAAACTACTGAAGAACAAAAACTCTGGTCCAGATGGCTTCAATGCTGAATTTTACCAAACATTTAGTGAAGACCTAATACCCATCCTCCTTAAAGTTTTCCAAAAAGTAGTAGAGGAGGGAATACTCCCAAACTCATTAAACAAGGCCAGCATGACTCTAATACCAAAACCATCCAAAGACACTGCAAAAGAATAAAATTACAGACCAATATCCCTGATGAACATAGATGCAAAAATACTCAACAAAATATGAGCAAACCAAATTCAAAAATACATTAAAAAAGATCACCCATCATGATCAAGTAGGGTTTATTCCAGGGATGCAAGGATGGTACAACATTTGAAAATCCATCAACATCATCCACCACATCAACAGAAAGGAGAAAAACCACATGATCATCTCCATAGATGCTGAAAAAGCATTTGACTAAATTCAACATCCATTCATGATAAAAACTCTCAACAAAAAGGGTATAGAGGACAAGTACGTCAACAAAATAAAGGCCATATATGACAAACCCACAGCCAACATCATACTTAACAGTGAGAATCTGAAAGCTTTTCCTTTAATAATGGGACCAAGACAAGGATGCCCACTCTCCCCACTTTTATTCAACATAGTACTGGAGGTCCTAACCATGGGAATCAGACAACACAAAGAAATAAAAGGCATCCATATTGGCAAGGAAGAAGTTAAACTGTCCCTGTTTGCAGATGATATATTGTACATAAAAAACCCTAAAGAATCCACTCCAAAACTACTAGATCTAATATCTGAATTCAGCAAAGTTGCAGGATACCAAATTAATACACAGAAATCTGTTGCTTTCCTATACACTAACAATGAACTAGCAGAAAGAGAAATCAGGAAAATAATTCCATTCACAATTGCATCAAAAAGAATAAAATACCTAGGAATAAACCTAACCAAGGAAGTGAAAGACCTATACCCTGAAAACTACAATACACTCATGAGAGAAATTAAAGAAGATAAATGGAAACACATCCCGTGCTCATGGATAGGAAGAATTAATATTGTCAAAATGGCCATCCTGCCTAAAGCAATCTACAGATTCAATGCAATCCCTATCAAAACACCAACAGCATTTTTCAACGAACTAGAGCAAATAGTTCTAAAACTCATATGGAACCACAAAAGACCCCAAATAGAGCAATCCTGAGAAGGAAGAATATGCTCACCGACGTCAAGCTCTACTACAAAGCCACAGTAATGAAGACAATTTGGTACTGGCACAAGAACAGACCTTTGGACCAATAGAACAGACTAGGGAGCCCAGATAAAAACCCAAGCATATATGGTTAATTAATATACAATAAAGGAACCATGGATATACAATGGGGAAATGACAGCCTCTTCAACAGCTGGTTGTTGGCAAAACTGGACAGCTACATGTAAGAGAATGAAACTGGATCATTGTCTAACCCCATACACAAAAGTAAACTCAAAATGGATCAAAGAACTGAATGTAAGTCATGAAACCATAAAACTCTTAGAACAAAACATAGGCAAAAATCTCTTAAATATAAACATAAGCAACTTTTTTCTGAATGCATCTCCTCGGGCAAGGGAAACCAAAGATAAAATGAACAAATGGGACTACATCAAGCTAAAAACCTTCTGTACAGCAAAGGATACCATCAGCAGAACAAAAAGGCATCTTACAATATGAGAATATATTTGTAAATGACATATCCAACAAGGGGTTATCAGTATGAGAATATATTTGTGAATGACATATCTGACAAGGGGTTAACATCCAAAATATATAAAGAACTCACACGCCTCAGCACCCAAAAAGCAAGTAACCCTATTAGAAAATGAGCAGAGGATATGAACATTTCTCCAAAGAAGAAATTCAGATGGCCAACAAGCACATGAAAAGATGCTCCACATCGCTAATTATCAGGGAAATACAAATTAAAACCACAATGAGATGTCACCTCACACCAGTTAGGATGGCCAACATGAAAAGACTAGGAACAACAAATGCTGGCGAGGATGCAGAGAAAGGGGAACCCTCCTACACTGTTGGTGGGAATGTAAATTACTTCAACCATTGTGGAAAGCAGTATGGAAGTTCCTCAAAAAACTAAAATTAGAAATACCATTTGACCCAGGAATTCCACTCCTAGGAGTTTACCCCAAGAAAACAACTCAGATTCGAAAAGACATATGCAGCTCTCTGTTTATTGCAGCACTATTTACAATAGCCAAGATAGGGAAGCAACCTAAGTGTCCATAAGTAAATGAATGGATAAAGAAGAGGTGGTACATATACACAATGGAATACTATTCAGCCTTAATAAACAAATGCATTTGCAACAACATGGATGGAGCTAGAGGGTATTATACTCAGTGAAATAAGTCAGGCAGAGAAAGATAAATATCACATGATCACCCTCATTTGTGGAGTATAACAACAGAGCAAAACTGAAGGAACAAAATAGCAGCCGACTCAGACTCCAAAAAGGGACTAGTGGTTACCAGAGGGAAGGACCGGTGGGGAGGGAGGGAGAAGGGGATTGTGGGAATCATGATTGGTGCACATGGTGCGTGTGGGGGTCACAGGGAAGACTGTGCAGCTCAGAGAAGATAAATAGGGACTGTGGCATCTTACTACACTGATGGACAGTGACTGTAATGGGGTATGGGGGGGAACTCGATAATAAGGGTGAATGTAATAACATTATTTTTCTTGTGAAACCTTCATAAGAGTCTAATATCAATGATACCATAATAAATAAAAAAAAGGGTAGTTTGAAAACTGTTACTTGTATGTCCTCTTGCATGATATCTATCTCCATAGATTATTTTGCTTCAGGCTCCTTTAAGTTTTCTGCCTTCAAACCTCTACCTGTCCCTCACCTGGTGCATCCCGTTGCCCCGACACTACTGAAGCCCTCTCCCTTTCCCGGGTTAGGGCAACCAGGGTCCTGCACCTACTCCCAGCAGTCACCCACGGCCTCGGTGACCGCCCACGAGTTCTAGGAGGCGCCTCCTCTCTCGGAGAAAAGGGTTTGGTGGGGGTGCTCTACATCACCCCGTTCCCCAGCCACCCAAAGAAACCAAGAATCTCAGCACAAGCGGTGACTCGCTAGGCAAACGCAGTCTGGAGACAAACAGCCGCCGTTTCCCATCAAACCGCCACCCCAAGACATTGCTTGCGGGGAGAGGTGACTGGACAGGGGAATCAGGAGTGGCCACCGCGGAGTTCACGCGGCGCGCGCTCTCGTCCAAGTCAGAGGTCGGCCCCGCGCTTCCAGACGCCGCTCTGCGCTCCGACGAGACACGTCACTTCGCCGAGGCCACCGGAGCTGCGCCCGCCGGGCGGTCCCGACGCCCCCAAGCAGGCCCGGGCCCGGGCGGGCGGCTCCGAGCCTCGGGGACTCCTCGGGGACCAGAGCCGTCCGCTGGCACTGCCTGGGAGCTCCACGCTGAAGGCCGGCAAACGCCGTCCGGGTGCCTTCTGCGCACGCGTCGGCGCGCAATCTCGGCGGCGCACTGGCTCCTCGCGGGTCCGCCGCAGGCCCCGCCCCCGCCGGGCGCCGCTCCGCCCCCACCCCGCCAGCTCCTGGCCTTCCCAGCAGCCCGGCCTCCCTACGGCAAGCGGCGCGGCCCGATCCCGCCCGGAGCCGGGAGTGCAGGGGCGGGGCGGGGCGCTGAGGTCGGCGCAACGGCGGCCGGCCCCGCCGTGGTTGGCTGCGTCCGCTCTGGCCGCGCCCTGGTTGGCTGCGGGCCGCGGGGCTGGGCCGCCGGGTCGGGGCTGGGGTCGGAGCTCGGGCGCCGGCCGGGCTTGCGCAGCGCTGGGCTCCGCGTCTCTCCGGGTCGGCGGCGGCAGCGGTGGTGCGGAGCGCTCGGCCACGGGCGGAGCCGAGGGGCGCGGCGCGGGCGAGGCGAGGGCGGGCCGCGCCGTGCGGGAAGGGCGGTGGCGCCGAGGGGAGGAGACCGGCCCATGGACCCGCGGGGCCCGGCGCCCCTGACGCTGCGCCGCCCGGACCGAGCCCAAGATGTCGGCCTAGGCCGGGCCGCGACGACGCGGACGGGGCGGCGACGAGGCGCTGCCGGGGCTCGCGGCCGCCGGGCCCCCGAGGGCACGCCCTGACGGACCGGCCGAGCGGGCGGCAAGAGGCCGGCGCCTTGGGAGCGGGCCGCGCGGCACCATGTCGGCCAAGGTGAGGCTCAAGAAGCTGGAGCAGCTGCTCCTGGACGGGCCCTGGCGCAACGAGAGCGCCCTGAGCGTGGAGACGCTACTCGACGTGCTCATCTGCCTGCACACCGAGTGCAGCCACTCGGCCCTGCGCCGCGACAAGTATGTGGCCGAGTTCCTCGAGTGGGGTAAGTGCGCGCGGGCCTGCCTCGCAGCCCCTCCGGCCCCGCCCGGGCTCGCCCGCCCCTCCGCTCCCCCGTCCCCAGGCTTCGCCCTCCCGCCTCGTCGCCGCTGCCCGGCCGGCCGCCCCTGCCCTCTCCTGCTGCTCTTTGCGCCCTCGTCCCTGGGCGGCCCGCGCTCCCTCCTGCGCGGCCCTCGCGTGTCCGCGTTCGGTGTCCCGCCCCCTCATCCGCTCCTGGGAGCCACATCCTCCGTTCCCACCCTGCCCCCTCCCCCCCGCCGGGCCAGGGCCTGGCCGCTTCCTAGATCCACCCTCCGAGCCTGGATATCATTTCCTGCAGCTCTCCCAGGGATATCCGCCCGCGCCCCGCCCGCGCCCCGCCCGTGCCCCTGGCTTTGGGGTCCCGAGTCAGTGTCGCGTTCCGCCCCGCACGCGCCCTGCTGGCTTGTGGGGCAGCCGCGTGCGCTTTCAGCGTCTGGCTCCCCCACCGCCCCGTGGGCCTCGCACACCCCTGGGCATCTCCAGGGAGCCGGGCCGTAATGGCCCCTCCTAGGTGACAGCCTGTCCACCTTCCCTTGGTGTCCAGGGCCTGAACACCCCTTTACTGAATACGCCGTACAAGAGCAAATGAATTCTTTTTATGGTAGTTGCGCCAGCCCCTTGTAATACTTCGGGCATAGTGTGGGGCAGTCGCTGAACTTTCTTCAGCTCACTTTGGCATGCCTTGCCTAGTCCACCCAAGGGTCTCTAATACTGTAATCATTGATCAACAAATCTGTTATGCTTGATTAAGACGAAAATTTGATTAAGCCAGTTAATGGTCATTAGAATCCCGAAGCTGGCTACAACCTTCTCTCTCCCCCGTGGGGGCATGGCAAGGCCCTCAGAATCTCCTAGGAGCGCTTAGGAGGAGGATACAATGCTTACGGTGGTGCCCTGTCTATGGAAATCCTACCCTTGGGTCATCTGCTTTATTAGGCTAGGATGAACCAGTGATTTGTAACCTGGGGCTGGTAAAGCTGGTATTTACATGAAACGAATGTATTCTGAAGCGATGCTTCCTCTGCCAGAATGGTAACTGAGATGTGGAATTTTGTTTACAGGTTACAGTTTAAGTTGCCATACTCTTTAGAGGGCTTCTGTGTTTTGCTCTTTAGTGAAATGTTGACATATTTCTTGTGAGAGCAGCACCAGGAGGAGACCCAAGGTCCCGGGACAGCTTGTTAGGCTGTATTGAACGGTGTGGGGGGGACCCACCATTCTTGGTTAAATACAGTATCAGTAAAATGAGAGTATATGCTTTCTGCGGTCCTTTATCAGTGACATACATGATTCCAACTGATTAACTGACTTAGAAGTTGTTTTGAAAATGAGGTCTTTGGTGCTTATTCTGTGTTACATCTTTGCCTTCTGATTATTGTATTTGTCATTTCCTTTCTGAGCATTTGATCTTGGCATCCAGACAGTTCATGATGAGGTCGATCTTGGTGCACAGTATGTGAGTGCAAGTGCGACTGAAAGGGGGGAGCCAAGGGCAGGTGGCTGCAGCCTGTGTGGTGTGGTCCAGCAGCCTCTGGCCAGGGCAGCTGAGCATGCCGTGCGGCTTAGTCTGAAGGTGGGGTGCCCTGGGGACTAGTGGTCCCTGAGCAGCTCCTCACCACCAGACAGTACCAGCCAGTCTGCACCTGTGAGCGTCAGCGGAGGAAGCTCTTCCCAGCATGTGTGGAGATCTACTGTATGAGATTTGCCCTTTCCAAGCAGAAACTGTGTGCTATACTTTGGAGATATTTTGAAAATTGTTGTCTGGCTCTTTGGAAATTACAATTACAAATAAATTACATAATCCTAAGAACTCAGTGTGCACAAAAGTGTAATCTCTATATTACAGAGAAAAACTGACTTAAATTTAGTGTGGCATTTTAATGATATACTAATATATTTTAGAAGTAGTATTTAATCTTACATATGTTAACATATGCATCATTGTAACTCTGCAGTGGTGTGTTACTAGTTACGATATGTGTGCAGTCATCATTTAGTGTTATTTGGAATAACTTACTGTGACTAGAAGGCAAAGAATGGTCTTTCAAAAGGAATTGTTGTGGAACATTATTAGGTCCCCTGACTTCCAAGTGGAATTACTTCTGCTCAGGAAATACATAGGCTTTCAACCTATGTATTATTGGGTTTTGGATTCACATGCTGTGTGACATTTGAAACCTCTTATGTGTTGAGTCCTGTCATTTGGAGGGCTAACTTCTCCCCACCTTCCAAATCTTGCTAGATGTCCATGACAATTATGTAGACTTCTTGAAACTTCATAAAGGAAACCAGCTGATCCGCACAGACTTTGAGACTTACTGGGCAATTGCGTGGGACAAGAGTCATCCTAGCTTTCATTGCAGAGTTCGCCTTTAATTTTCCCTTGGTTATGTTTATAGTTTCATTAATTTCCTCTATGAACTCCTGGACCTTAATTAAAAGTTGGAAATATCCTGCTTTGCATGTGTATTTCTTTAAGCTATTTTTTAATGCAAATTTGCTACCGTTTTGAAGTAGAGCATATGAAACACTTTGAAATTTCTACCAGTGAACAGCAACAAATATGGACAAATAAATGAGGTGAATTTGCTGTCTTTGATCTTTGTTATATAAAAATACTTATACATGTATTCATTTTTTTTCATGGTTTAAATATAACTTGCTAGTGTGACATTTGGTGGTAGCACATGTTCGAAGTCCCAGCCTGTTGGTGTTGGGTGGCCCCCGGTGTCCCCCTGCTCTGGCCTCCTGAAGCCCGCAGACTGGCAGGAGGTCCAGCTCTTGCTGCTATGCAGGCTCGCCTCTTGAAGGCAGACTTGAACGTGGGTTTCTCAATTCCTAGTCCAGGGCATCTTCTCTCACTGTGCTGCCATACTTCTTCTGTAAGGAGTAGAGTTATCCTTCTGGTCCTCTGTTTAATGTTCTCATTTGTGATTTTTCATACGAATACAGCAGTACCTGCTCAGAGTTCTCCTTCATCCCTGTGAATTCCTGTAGCTGTTAGCTTGAGGGGCTCAGCCCTGGGTGTCAGTGGGATGACTACCAAATTAATAAGTTCAGGCTTAACTGATGGTGCTGAACATTTCAAGATAAGATTTTAATTTTAGTGGTTTCTCCAGATAGAGTGGTTGGCATACATGGGAACACTTTTTAAAAATAATGGGTTTAAGAAACAAGTCTTTTAAATAAGATCTAAATTGTAGGGAAGTGTTTAGATTGTATAATAAAACTTAGGTTAACATAATTTAGATGTGTAAATAGCTATTTAAAATGCATAATGATGCATGGCATATGATGGGGCAGTTGAGACCATTAAATATTAACAAGCCAGCTTTACCTTTTCCATCGTAAAACCTCCTCCGTTGACAATTGAGCTTTGAAGTAAACAGCAGTGTCTGTGTTAAATCTAGACTTTCAATAAGGAAAGTTGGATTTAGGGAACATTGTGTTCTTGTCAAGATACCACTGAATGGCTGCTACCTGAAAAGGTTTGTGATGTGCGGCGATTGCCCTTCAAGCAGAGTATTCTAATTTGCAGAGGGCAGAAAGGTGAAAGTACAGAGGGCTGGCAGGTTGCTCCCCTCGCCCTCACCCTTGCCCTGCCTCTTGTCGCAGACAGAGCCTGATGCCCTTAGAAATGTCCTGTCTCTGCCGATGTGTGATGCTCGATAAACACACACAAGCAGCACTGTTAATTCCAAACCATATTCAGTCCAGTGAAATTTTCGAATGCTTTTCTTGCTAAAGAGGCAAAAAGTATTTTTTTTAACTAATAAAGTAAATGGACCTTGTTGGAAGAGACCAAATAATTTTATCTTTTTAAAATTAAAAATGATAAAATAAAATGAAAAGAATTTTGAAAAAGCACAGAAACCCTATAATCACATCACCCTAACCCCCATAACAAAATGCCTTTTAGTTCCTGTGCCAAGTTTAAATCTGGAAACTTAGATTCTTAGGATGTTGCAGAATGACTGTATGTTAACATTATCTTAGCTCACACAAATGCTCTCTTACTAATGAAAATGGATGAGAAGAAAATGCGCTTCCCTTAGATTAAAAAAAAAAAGTGTTTTGGCAATGTGTACTATATATAGATTTAAAATCTACCTGAGAAACTTTGATTTTTTAAGCAAAACAGATACTATGAAATAAGGAGACATCTTATAGTACAATCTTAAACAGTCTATTGTGTATGAGGTTTATGGTTTGTTAGTTTACTGACTTGTAGTTAACTGGCAACAAAATTGTTTTTAGGTTAAAACTTTGCAAAAAGGATCAATTGTGTAACAGGAGACTTTGGATTTTGTTATCTTTAGGGAAGAATTACAAATAAAAGAGATTCGAATTGAATTATGCATTTCAGTCCAGTTCTGTCCTTGTATCGGAGTTTCCTTGGAGGCAAAGGGAACTTACTCTTCTAGGGGGGCCCCCTTATGGTGTTCAGACCATGACAGTGACCCCTCTGGCCTCCACAGTCACAGCCATAGGTTGGAAAACTGTTAAGGGTTTGAGAGGTCACATGATGTGCCTTTCATACACTCCCCACCCTCCCTTAGCCCCACCTCTCCTTGGGTAAATGAGGCTCTGGACATTTTCCCTAGACACTTCTAAGCAAGCACCCTCCAGCCAGGCTTTCTCTCCACAGGATCATGGTCAACCTTGGGCCACCTTGCTTGACACCTCTTAGCAGTGTCTCTTTTGTTTTATCCGTTTCTTTCCATCCCCATTACCAACTGGCTTGGCTGAAGCTCTCAAGTCCTCAGACCTAAATGAATGAGACCTCTTCCAAATGAGTCTTAAACAGTACCTCTCAATTTGATTACTCCCCCTTTCAAAAATTTGTACAGTAACTTCATATTCTATTGCCTTAATAAATTAGGTATGAAATCAATGGTCCAATCTTGGAATTTGAAGTTGACCTAAAAAGATGCATTTAATTTTAGTTTTCGAAGTTGAAATTAA